ATTTCTCAAGCGACTTCGGCCCTTCGGCTGGGCTACCTACCGTTGGTGTTGAATGCGGTTCCTACGAGGACATCCTGGACGCCATCCACGGACTGAACGCGCTGGGTCAAGATATGTGGTACGACTATATGCGAAAGCTTACAAGCCGGCTGCGAGTGTTCGTTTCGAAGAACAAGTCCGCAGACCCGGACACGACGCCGGTGCGTGTGCGACTTACTCTCATGTATGTAAACAAGTTCTTGGGCTCAGCCCTGGCGTACATGGAGGACGACAACACGCAGTGGTGGTCGGGCTTCTGCGAATCGCTGCGGTCGATCGAGTACCACTCCATGGGATGGGCTATGGCGCTTGTAAGCGTACTCGCCCAGGAGAAACAAGTATCTCGAGAGACGCGCGGCAACGGAAAGCGCGACCATGAGCGCAACCCCGCAATTCCGGGTGCTATTCGACGGCTAATACCTCTGAACCGTCGCGGCCAAGAGCCTTGCCTCCTGAATGTGGCGGGGCTTCCATGCTCTGGAGACTCGCGAGACCGGTGCGGCAACTCGAAGCGTGTCCACAATTGGCCGGATCCGCTACCTGCGCGTCTACAAGACTGGGTTGATCGCACGTATGGCTCCCACCACACGAACCAAGGCGACCGTCGCTGATGGGGCCGGTGGGATTGTAGCTCGACATCCTTTCGGTACGAGAACCAGATAAAGCAGGATAATACACAAGATTCTGCAGAAGCTCTGGCTACGAGCATCCTTAGCGAACTGTGTTCGGACACGCCCTTTCCGACCGAAGAGAGTTTGGGGGCGGAGGTTAGGGTCGGAGCGAAGCGGTGGGGGAGGATTTTGCCGCGCGAGCGAGAAATTTCTCCGGAAGGCCTCCGTTTCGCCAATGAAATCCTCTCCTTACCTGCTGATGTACCGGGTTCATCGCCTTCCAGGTTCACCCTAACCTGCGGTGAATCGAGACAAGTGACGTCTTCGGCTATACAGCCTCCTTTGGCTATACAGTCCGGGTCGACCATACAGTCACCCAAGGCCATACAGCCCCCCTTGACTATACAGTCCGGGTCGACCATACAGTCACCCAAGGCCATACAGCCCCCCTTGACTATACAGCCCGGGTCGACTATACAGTCACCTCCGGGTATACAGCCACCCTTGACTATACAGTCTGGGTCGGCAATACAGTCACCCACGGGTATACGGCCTGCTTTGACTATACAATCCATGTCGTCTATACAGCCATCCACGTATACACGCCCCCCGGGGTGCAGCCCATCCAGGTCAGACGATCTGTACACTAGCGAGAATATACGACGAAACGACCGACGCGATAATACGAAGTCTACCAAGGTCCAAATTCCGATGAATCCTGATATATCTACAAGCATGCCTTCGACTTCGGGTACAAGTCAAGCAAATCCAGACAAGCTACACTCGGCTAACAGAGATGGCACAGGAAACATACTTCGGATCGAAAGAACCCCACGTCGCCGTGTAGTCTCAAGTCAAACCGCGGACCAAATGCATGGGCTTATTAAGCACGTATACAGGTCCATCAGCGCCTTCTTGCGTTGTAGGGAAATCAGGCGCTGGTAGCTTTATGCCGAAGCTGGCCATGGCCTTCCCGAGCGTAGCCGATTGAACTTCTCGATTCAGGTCCCGTCGCCGACGTGCATTCTACATTAACGTAGCTGCAGACATAGGAACGACCTGTTCCGACATAGACCGCTCCCTCCGTTACGCAATGGTGGCCATTCTGGGCGCTGACGCCATCAACATCGAGAAGTTCACTGATTGGAAGACACGCCAGCGCGTTCTCGGATTGGAGTTCGACTCAGTCGATGGAGTGGTCGCACTACCGGTTTCCAAGATCCAAAAGGCACGCAGGATTGTCGCTTCAGCTTACCACTCCCCGACGTTGACTAGAAAAGCGTATCGGTCATTAATGGGCAGCTTACGTCATGTGGCGACTTGCATTCGGGCCGCACGACCGTTCCTTCAGCGTCTCCGCCACCGTGAGGCACAACTCCATCGTTTTCAGGGCGTCTCCGTGACAGACGCAATGCGAGAAGACCTGCTCTGGTGGTGGCTTATTCTGCACAGCCCTCAGCTAAACGGTGTATCTCTGGAATACTTCAACGCTCTCCCACCCCCGGATGTTGTGGTCGAAATGGACGCGTCGGATGTCGGGCTGTGTGCGCTTGACGTATTGGCGAAGACTGCGCTCACCTACGCATTTACCTCATCCGAGCTATCGCTGATAGCGGAATTCAAAATGGGAGCGGCCAACGGCTTTGACATCAACTTCCGCGAGCTCCTCTCGTGTGCCTTCGCGGTGCACGCATGGGGAAAACGATGGTCCGCGAGCAGCCTCATCGGCAACAGACCGCGGCACGTGCACTTCCGTACTCGCTCACTGTCATCCGCTGTCGCATGGCAAAACAAGCTGCCTCACGAA